CTGCCCTGGACTCTGCGGGGGAAGGTTTGGGCATTGTGGCTTAAGGTGAGGGATTCCGCGTGCAAGAGCCTCGTTTGGAATTAGGGGCTTTTGTGTAAGTGAATATTCTCCCTATAGCCCTTACAGAATATGTTCCCTTACTCACCACCTTTCAACAAGTCTAGTAAGTGATTCAGAGCTGGGGCTCAAGGCTCAAACCTTCAGCTTATAACCTGACATATACCCATTCTCATGTGTAAAAGTCAGAGGTTTGTGGCCCAATGCTCGCCAAACTCCCAAATTTCGTTCCCCAACTCTCGGCCCTCATCTTCCCAGTCGTACCACCACGAAACACTTCCAAATGCCAGGGCCCCAAAGAGGGGCCTGTATTTTGGTAGCCTTGCCTAGATCAGCAGGGAACCATGGGGTTTAAGGGTTTAGGGTTTAAGGTTAGATCCAGGGCCCATGTTTATCTGTACACCCTAAACCCTAAACCCTAAATAGTAGTTTCGATTTTCTTTTCCATTATCCCAATATAACCCCCATAATATATCCTAATATTCTATCTACTTAAGGGGGACTATCCACCCTAAACCCTATACCCGAAATAGTAGCTCCCATTTTCTTATCCATTGTCCCAATATAACCCCAATATTCATTGAAGCTGAAGGAGCTCACGCCTCAACAGCTGTCGAAGTTACGTCCCTTCTTCAGCGATGTGGCTGAGGAGCTAGTTCAGACAGACTGAGGCTTACATAGGGTTTAGGGGGTCCTGTTGTACAGGGTCCATATCCCTATCATTTGAACTACTCAAATCAGAAGGCCAGCGCCATCAAGAACGAACATGCGGAAGTGCGCGCAGCTTGATATGCTTAGTCTGAGTTGCCGGGGAGCTCAGCAACTAGGCATTGTGTGCTGAAACGTTAGAAGATTGCGTGAAGTAGTGCGGATGTGTACCCAATTGTCCTATGGGTCTTCATTCAAGGATCCTCTTTTCTTGGTGGGAGGGCTGGTATTCCTTGATTTCTTGCTTTCAAGTCCAGACTTGCATATGCCTGGGCTTGCAGGCATGCAGCAGTTGTACTGGCAGCAGATTCTCTTGAGACTGAGTTAGCAGCACTTGATGTTCAGAAATCACACTTCACATGTCCCAAGGCCGAGACATGAACATCATACGTAACGACAGCGCTAGGTGTGGCACAGACATCTCACTGCAACTGTACATTTGAGACACTTGGAGCTCTCAAACACACACAGGAAGCCAAGGGTCTACGTGTGGCGGCATGTAACGGGACATCAAACCTTGGGATTACAGATTCGCCTTTCTGCTTTTCCGTGCCTTTTCTGAAATACACGTAATAATCCTCATATAGTATATCCCCTTGTTCCCTATGTTCCCCCTATAGTGCCCCCTATATAGTGTATGATCCCTAGATCAGCTCTTGACACTGCCCTTCCACCCGCCCATCTCTCCAGGAATCCAGTATATTAGAATATATGACCACGTACTATAATATACTATAATATACAATAACATGCGATACTGTACTAGAATAGACTATAATGAACTATACTATACTATAGAATTCGGGGTTAAGGTCCAAGAAAAACACAAGTCCTCAGGAGCTGAAGAAGCAGGAGGCGCAGCTGCTGTGCGACGACAGCGGAGGCGTGCAAGGGTCTCACTGTCGGTTTAGGGTTTAGGGTTTTTAGGGTTTAGGACACCCCCAGGTGGGTGGTTGGTAGTTACCAGGTGGATACATACAGGCACTTGAGAATTTCAAGGAAGGGAAAGAGAGCGCAGTGTGAACACTAAAGCCTTAGGCTCTAAGCCCGACGTCATGTAGGGTTTTCCCAACAAGGGATGCTACTGTGGGCGGTCCCTAAGGATTATATTCTATCGGAGTCCCTGAAGATATGTAAACCACCACGTCAATCCCAGACCTTTGCAACCAGGTACCGATCATTTCGACTGCTTAGAGCTCACGAAGGTACCTTGGGTGCGCCTCTCAGTGCAGCGGACACCGCCGCTCCTAGGGCTATAGCATACTATGGTATGCTATAGTATACCATCATATACTGCAGTACACCATAGTATACTACAGTATACCATAGTATACTACAGTATACTTTAGTGTAGTAGAGTATAGTTTAGTATACTGTATACTGCATAGGGTTTGGGCTGAAGGCTAGACATTGAGTAGACCCTACCCTATGAACTGGATTGCAAAGTCAAGTCGAGAGGAATCTAATTTCATTTGGTAGTGCCAGATGGGTGGGTTCATCTGGTTGAACTACTGCTGTACTTGGGGGGGTTAGGGGGACTCAGTCAGCATACTTAGGACCGGTAAATTGCATATAATAAGTAAGCATGCGTAAGCATAATTCTAACTGTTATATTGCACATAAATGCATATAATACCCCAAGTTATCCCATTATTACCATAGTTACTGCGTCCCCCTGACCCCCAAGCAGCCAGTCATGAGCACTGGGGTAGCAATATTGTGTCTCACCTAAGTGTGCTAGGCAACAGAGGTCGGAATGCAAGTATCTCCGGCATAACAACCCTAAACCCACAACCCTAAAACCCTACACCCTAATTTCAATGAGGTCTGGGGGCTTCTAAAACCTCAAGGCTCCCCCGTGCATATCCCCACATGTATGACAGTCCCTTGCTGAAGGGATTCCCAAAAGCCCTTAAACCTTGAACCCAGGTAAGGAAACAGCATTTCTTACCAGGTAATATGCTACCGTCTCCCATCCTTACCATTCAAGACACGCGTGTTTGCCCAACATACCTACCTGGCATTTAACACCAAAACCTAACCCCGATCCTAAACCTAGAGGCAGACGGCATCACTGCCCGAGAACTCATCGCGTGTTGCAGCCCTGACGAGGATCTGTCGGCGTCAGTTCTGAACAACTGGGGAACACATTTTCCCATGTTTTACAGTGAAAAATGTGTTCACCAAATTGTTTAGGGGAGATTGGTTCCCTACTTGTTTAGCTGTTTTCCTGATTTACCGCTCTTGGTGTTGAGCTTTGGGTGTTCAGTTAGGGATCTGGGGCAAGTTCGTCACTTGTCAATGTGAATCTGCTTTTTCACCTGCCTTGTGAGCGCCTGACACATCTAAATCTCAAACGGCAACAGGTAGCCTAAACTCTAAAATCTGAACCCTCAGCCGCGTGTTGGCTAAGCAAGCTCCTGGCTTGCAGTATCAAAGCTTGAGTACTGGAATCTTCACTACAATTCAGATGAGGGAAGGGTATTATTCATGGGGGGGGGGGGGGGG